TACAACGGAGCTGATCCAGCTTTGCTGCGGTCATGAAGACATTACTAAACTGTGGGCCGGCTTTACATTGAACTCCTGGCAACGTCCCGCCCCAACCTATGGTCCCCATATACAGTCGCTGAATCCCCCTCAGCTGTGTGTCTGTGTATTCAGCAGGATGTCTACGGGAGTGACTTAGAGTGAAGTTGTTGTATATATAACACATATAATGGCACTGTTATAGCGGTAAACACTGAATAAAGAACATGTCAAGCTATGTGCTGTATCAGAAACAATGCACGACGTGTTTTGGAAGTACTATTGTCTGTGTTTACATTAGCAAGCATCGCTAACAGTCAGAGCTAACGCTGTACTGGAGAGAGTATGTTTAAATAGCAGGATATAAAAAGGTTCTGTCCTTGTGGTAAACCCGTGAGAGAGAAAGTGTTTGAGCTTCATACTGTTTCAGAAATAATCCTTGATGTGGTTTGGAACATAATATGGCGTTTAATCACGGCAGCGTTTAGCTGAGTTTCTGCTGGTAGGCTCTCCACAGAGCTCACTGCTTGCATTCGGACGGACGCTCCAAAGGGGCGTGGCCAGAAGCAGCTCTGTTACATTTAAAGGGCCAGACTAAGAAACAGCACTTTAGTAACAGGGCTGAAATAGAGGGGTATGAGGCATGCTACAATGGGTGATCTGTTTGGTATTTTGAGCAAAACACTTCAGAGACATGTTTTGTATAGATATGGCCCTATAATATATTGTTCAAATATAGCATAATAGGTGAGCTTTAATATTATTGCCTTTAACTAACCTAATACAGTTATGTGACATTTGTTGACATAATCAATTAAGCCAATGTTTCAGTTTTTTCAGTTTGTGTCACTGTGATGAATTCCATGTGACTGTAATGGTTTCTTAAGGCTGTAGATCCAGGAAAGAGATGTTCTAAACTCTATGGTGCTGTCCAGTCTTTCAGAGAACCAGTCCCTGCTGAAAATGCCTCCCTGGTCAAACCCCTGGCTGGTGGGAGCCATCTGTCTGTCCATGGCTCTACACTTCCTCATTCTATATGTAGACCCACTGCCGGTAAGCATGCACTCATCAATATATTTTGGCCTACACTTATTATCCATCCTTGACTTAAACTTCCTCCCACCCTCTGTCTGTGGCTTCAGATGATCTTCCAGATACGCCCTCTGTCCTGGCCTCAGTGGGTGGTGGTGTTGAAGATGTCTCTTCCTGTCATCTTGATGGATGAAGCTCTAAAGCTCCTGGCCCGCAACTACATTGAGCCAGGAAGCCAGATGCAGGTGAGAAGATCATGAGAGCTTTTGTTAATGCTATAGAGTGGTGCAGGAATGAGTCCTAAACCCAAAAATCCTGTTTTTGATTAATTTACTACTTCCGTGCTCCCTCATCTTGAAGCAATTGATTATTTTTTCTGTTTTTTTTTAATGAAATGCCCGAATCAAGGTCTGTGGTTTATTTAAGATATCAATATTTCCACCTTTAGTTGTTTATAGCTACCGTTAGTTTTTATCTCCCAGAGATTGCATATTAAGGATGTTGAAATTAATAGTTTCTACGATGCGGACGTGGACGATTCTGCATCGATGCAGTGACAGAACATAATCGATTGTAGCGTAGTA